ATTGTTTCTTTTTTACCAAAAAATATAATATTTTAAAGAATATATTATATTTGTTCAAAAAGTTTTACTTGACGTATAAATATGTTAAATTAATTTGATTTTTTTGAATTATTTATTAATATAACAATATTAAAAAATTGTAGATCACAATTTATTTCGTTAACATTTTAAAGAGAACTTTAAAAGATATGTATTTATTTGAACAATATAAAACAAGAAGTGTTACATTTTTTACAAACAAAATATATCTCGAAAATAATGTTTCATATTTATTTAAGAAATATTTTACTCTATAATATTTAATTTGCATGCAACTTAATAAGAAAAAGTCAAAAAAAAAAGTTAATAGCAATGAATAATGAAAATCACTAATAATAACTTGAAATATGTTCTTATTTTTATTTTAGTTAAATCATCAAAATGATGTGTTATCCACATCACCTCATTAAAACCACACAAACAAAAATAGTCAAGGGGTTAACCAGTTTAAAAGGTAACAGGTTAGTCATTGCTATTATCGGTAGATTTTTTAAATTACAATGTCTTAATAAAAAATAATTTGAAAGTATATTGCTGTAATAAAAAAACAAAAGTAGAATACTATAATAAGAAATTTTATGAAAGTATGTTGCTATTTCATGCATTTAACCCTAATATTAATTAATATCTACTAATATATCTTCATAGTTAGTGATAACAAATAACATTTAATATAATCAGAATTATAATTGAAAATTTTGTCAAAAACTAGCATTTCAATAAGTTAACTTATGTTTGCCAAATAATGCCTAAATCATTGAAACTGGATTTAAACCTACCATTTGTGAACACATTGTGAACATCCTATTACAAATTTTCCTAAGATTGTTTAAATTGTGTTCACCTTGTCTGCACATTCAATTGTACGTGTGTATTTTATGAAAAGAGGAGAGGAGGTAAAAAAAAAACATTAAATTTTTATTTAATAAAGAACAATGATTATTTTTTTAATTATCTCATTAATTAATTATCTTAAATTAACGGCTTAGGATAGATCTCACAAAATTTGGAGTTCTCATGTGGTTAAGCGTGCACATACATACATACATATATGTGTGTGTGTGTGCGTGAGCGCATGCATGTGTATGTGTATATATATAGGGTATATTTCGAATACAATCATATCCATTTGTACAACCAATGCAACCCAACTAATTGAGATATTTATGAAAATGATGAGAGTTCATTTATTATGATTTGAATATTTATGGAAGATGAATATGGTTCATTAATTATGATCAATACTTTATATTA